ATAATGGCGGATTTGGATGAACCGAATGTAGTTAGCGTGCATAGGCCCTTTAGGCTCAGTGCCTCCGGGCGAAATAAATTCCATCCATCCATCCTCTCAAATCCACCATATTACGCTATCACCAACCTAGTACTATGGCTTCTTCACATCACTTTGACGAGGCGCCGTTTATCTCTCGAGATACTACTACTTCTACTACTGCCAAATCTTCTTTTACTTTTGACAACCACATCCGGCTTGCAATTCCACCTGAAAAGACTCACCAGGGTAAAAATCGACTTTTTTACTGTTCACATTGTGAATGGTCTGGCCAAAGTACTACCAACGCACGGCAACACCTTCTTCGAAAGCATGATATTGTGGTAGATAGGGCCATTCACGCTACCAAGGAGTAACGGCGGTGTGCTGAATGGGTATATAACCATTGAATTGCAGAGGTCCTGACAACTTCTGTAATTTGAGCTCCTTTTTAGGAACGGATGGATGGATGGAATTTATTTCGCCCGGAGGCACTGAGCCTAAAGGGCTTATGCACGCTAACTACATTCTCCTTTTTAGGAACGGTTTGGCCGAGTGGTATGGTTCTTGGCGCTCGCCGTCACTCAAGGCTATACTCGACCAAACAACCGAGTTGGATTCACAGGTCTTGAAAAAGGTTTTGGTCAGAGATACCATCAACTCGAGTCTCCTATCTCTCATCATCCTTCACAATATTCCTTTCCGGCTCGTTGAAAGTAAGGAATTCCACACCTTTTGCAAGGCTCTCAACCCCGAGGCCATCAACCTCATTTCAGTAAAGCGGCTTCTCATAAACCCGAAACTCAACATCCGCAACCAAACACGGCTTGAGATGGGGGTACTCGCCCCCAAAATCACCTTTCCGCACCACCTTGTACCCCATCCTCTCATACCAGCTATGCATCCTAACCTTGAAGGAGTGCTCGAATTCCGTAGAAACCAATAATTCACATTGCATGACTGTCTTGCCCAGCACATTCTTGCAATGCTCTTCTGAGAATTCGACAAGCTTCTTCCCCGCTCCGCTGCCTCGATGGTTAGGGTCGCAGACTAACATGCCAAAGACGCCATGTGTGGGTGAGAGGGACTGGACACGGGCACAGCCTATTATTCTTGAGGTTGGAGAGTCGTACTGGCTTGGGGCATTAGGGTCTGAATAAATCCAGGCGAGAGCGAGCTCAGAGGTTTGGATGAGATTCTTTAGGTCGGAAGGGGTGGTGCGGCGGTAGACGTCGTTGAAGATGCCTTCTTCTGCTACGGTGTAGACTGCGTTTATGAGCTCGACTAGCTGGTTTACTAGGGTGTCGTTTTGGGAGAGGGATGGGTCTGCGATGCCGACTTGGACTTTGACGGGGGAAGCCGAGGTTGTGGGCAGATTGGTGGCTGAGGAGAGTGGTGAGTAGGGGGATGGGGTTACTGGGAGGGACTCCGCCGCGGGATTTGGCGAGAGTTGCGTCATTTTTGTAGTGATGTTGGTTTTTGGTGGTGAGATTGACTTGAGTGAGTGATGTCGTTGACGTCGGTGCTGGTTCGGGGGCTCGATGAGGGCAGGAAGCTTGGCGACAGGTATGTGGAGCAGGAACTGAGACTTTTAAACACTCCGGAAGCAGATAGGCAAATAAGGAGAAAAAGAAAACGTATTGAAATCGCCAAGTGAGTGTATAAATAGAGCCGGGGGCAGTTTGTGTGATGATCAAGTGAGTAATCGCCAGTTTGTGAAGCTGGTGTGGACGTGGTCAAAATAACCTCAAGCCAAAAGATCCGTTATCGGCCCGGAAGCGACATATCAATGCCGAGTCAAAAATTTGACATGCCGAACAAGCCGATGTCACTTTTCAGCCCTTCAAGTGGGTCTTTGTCAAACAGGTGTCAAAAACGTCAAACTCGCCACCAACGAGTGTACACTACAAGCGTATGATGACTGGAATGGCTTGGAGTCAAAAAGAATAATTCCCACTTCTACTCCATCAGCAACCCACAACAAACGTCAATACGATTGGTTGCGTGGCCCAGTGGTTAAGGCATCTGCTTTACAGGCAACAAGAAAGCTTCCTCGGTAGTTCTTCTCTAGACCGTTCGCAGAGGATCGCAGGTTCGAGCCCTGCCGCGATCATTAATCTTCAACTTTTGCAGAAATTTGCATTCTAACTTTTCAGATTATTATCTCAATTCATTCCCCCATTTTGTTCATTTTTTGTCCTACAGCTCTACTTTTGGCACGAATGCTGGCGCTACGGTCTATACGCCGCACGTCCTGCCATTTGCATTTCATATATTGGCAGGTACGTCTCGCCCTCGTTCCTTGTCCAAGTCGTCCGTGGAGAAAGTATGGATCCCGGGAGTCCAATTTGTAAAGACGACGTCCGGGACAGGGTTGTTTGTGCTTCTGGGTGTGTATTGGATCTTGTCGCTCTGTCTGGTGCTGACACAAGTTCCGAGTCGGAACTAGAGTGCTCTTCTGATGATGCGTGCGGTGTCAATTCCTCCAATTCTGTGGTCTGTTGGCCATTTGCGTCTATCTTGCGCCTTCTCGCTAACAGTTCGACTAACGCCACTCGATCATTCTCGCGTTGACGAGCCTTTGCGACGCTTCGATAATATCTTACAGTGCCTGTGTTACGACGCGTCGACGAGTGAGCCGTGATAGTCACAAATGAAAAGGTTATGTGAGGCTTTTCGTCTCGTATAGACACTAGATGGGTGGAAATGAGTCGGTACTTACGAATGATGCCAAAGAGGACTTCTTGAGCCATAGGTACCCAAGTCATCACGGCGGCTATCTGACCGAATCCCCAATGATTATCCTCGTACTTGTCCCCAGCCAAGGCTTGCATTTGTCTCCGCGTTTCCAGCAAGTCTGTCAGAAGTAACCATACAAGGACAGTCGCTGCAGCCCCGAGAGAGAAGACGATGGTAAGCGCTCCGAGCCTTCGGGGTCCAAAATACACAAGCCGAGATGCTTGAAGGAATGGCCAAGTAGAGCAGCAGATGATAATCTTTTCCAGGGTAACGCACGAAGCCGTGACTCGGGAATCCATAAGGAGGACCCCAAAAACACATTGAAGAAAAACAAGGAAGAAGAATGTGAAAAACAAGAACCAACAAATACAAAACAGAATCGAGGTATTGTTACCCAGCTCTGGACCATCACCATTAGTAACTATTCGACTTGGCAAATGCAAAATCTGGCCGATGTTGTTGACCACCTGTGATGAATTTGCTGTTCCGTGGTTGATGCACCATGAGGCGATAGCATCCAAAGTCTTGCCTGAAGGTCCGTCATCCGAGACCGACCACAGATACAAGCTGGCGGCGACATAGCCTATCAGCGTGAACCTTTCAAGCATAGAGCTCGCATGCAGTGGGAGGTAAGTTAAGGTACAGATCCAGGAAGTCAGGATCTCAAAGATGGCTAATTTGTTCATGAATTGCCTCTCACCAACGGTAAAGAGGTCCATAGAGCTCCGAATGACTGCTGCTACCAGTACGGAAAACGAAGTGATGATACTGGCTTGGTGAATGCTTCGAGCGACGGGGAGAAGGTGCTTTGCCACCCATAAACTATCGGTATCATATGTAATTCAGGTATCTGAGGACTTATCAGAGCCGATGTAGAGCGCAATGAAGCCTAGGATTGGGCCGAACACGAGAGATGTAATGCCTTGGAGGCAGTACGAAATAACAGCCTTTTGGTACGTCCCCGCGTTTCGGCTGCTTGTCAGCTTGAGGTCGATATTAAGAATCAATTCCGAGTTACACTTACGCCGACCCCAGATATATCCGGATTTCCAGAGCCGTACACCTGGTCACACACGCCCGGGCATGTCTGGATCAGAGACGACATGTTGAGAGTTGTTGCGTTGAAAGGGATGCTGCGATAAAGGTCTCCGAGGGAATCGAATTCGCATTGTGGTCCTTGGGCGGAATTTGGAATCACCGGAACTGGTAATTCGGACTCCAATGTGATGCTTGGCGACGTTGACAGCAATGAAAGTGTCGGCGTCGGTGATGTAACTTCATTGCTCTCTGCTGCGACCGGGCACGTCAAAAGTACCAATATCACTCACTGTACACAGTTGGCCTATTGGCCACGGCGATCGACGTGAAGTGTTCATGGCTTTGACTGACCACAAGGACTAGTGAATTCGGAACTAAAATGACATTTATAGTGCCATTCAGATAAGACAAAGTTAAGAAGGGGACTTGTATCGATCAAATATTCGAGAATGATTGAGAGACACTTGAGATGCCAAGCCTGAGCTGAACGCCACAACAACATCTTTGACGCGACCACCAGGGGAGGCGCCTAACGAAGCCCATCATTTGGTAGACCCCCTGAAGGGCGCTTCCCCCTTGCAATTATCTCTCTTTTTGTTTAGCTAATTTTTCTTCTAGGCGACATGGCCTCTATTCTACAATTATCGTTCGAAGCAAAAGGACTGGTTATTGAGCTTCTGACCAGTGCCGAGGAACATAGGCAATGGACAATAGTGCCAGAACAGTCGTTCGTGGACTATACCTGTCTCAAATAATCCCACTTACCAACGTATCATAAGTCCTCAGAGATCTATATAACACTAAGACCACAGTAAAACTATATCTAGAGTACTTGTCTCTCACCTATCTTGATATTGGAGTAGGGAACGATTTGTCCTTATTATGGATGAAGGGTCTGGATTGATTACACTTCAGTCTACTCAGTCAAGCAACCGGCCCTTCCTAAACTGGATAAATTCGAGCATTGAATGCTCATAAACTCTACCACCTCCTTTTTCAAGAAACAGGTGACTGTGTGCCCATCCCTTCCTCCAAATTGTTGGTCGCTGTTTCTTCTCATGCTCGAGTGGTAGATAGGTATCGCTTTCATTCCGCTCCGATGTCGTACGAGATTGCAGCGTGGCGACTAATGGTCGAGCTTGGGGACGAGGTGGTCCCGAGTGTTTGTGTCACATCTGTACTCGTCGGGATGGGTAGCAACCTTCAGCTAAGATCTATGGCCCCTAAATTGAATACCTACCTTTGTTATTGCGGCTTCATAATTGGTATTATGGGAAGTTACGGGGGCTAGATGATCCCAGGCGCAGCTCATATCAGTGAAGGAGTAGAGTGTAAAATCAGATTTGCTTGCTTCTTGTAGGATGAGTACAAACTACCAAGGCTCTTAGAACCCATCTAAATATATGACGACTTGATAGGTAGTATCCAAGACATCCTCCCCTGATCCATGATCAACCGATGAAAAAAAGCTTCCACCGACTAGGTAACTTTCTCGGAGCAGACTTATTGGCAGACGGTGTTCCACTGAGGTGGGAAGACCCCGACATTGTTCTCTCGGAAGCAAACACCCTCCTCAGAACACTGCGTTGTTACAATCGTTGTCAGCAACTTACGTCACCTTTGCTTGGAAAGAATACCAGCTTTGCAATCTCGAAGTGCGGTAAGGACACAGGCCACTTACAGAGCCTATAGTGCATGGCCATGCGGTGCCGTCGATGAAGCAGGTATCGGTTACAGCGGAGCAAACCTAAGTGGGAGTAGGAATGAGGAGAAGAGTTGTTAGTTATTGAGCAAGGAGAAACCAAATGTTCAACGGGTATGGACGTAGGTAGGTACTTACCCCTCGCTGGGCGAAGGTGCGGCCGAAAAGGAGGGCAGCAACTATCCCGAGAATAAGACTAGCAGAACGCATCATCTTGACTGTTTGAGATTGAGGATTGCGAAGTATAGAATCAACTTGTTGGTTTTTTGTGTTGTTATGTTAGAATACTTAGTTAAAGAACCCAAAAGACCTTGTGGGATGTGTGATGCAGAATAAGATGCTTTCTTCGCCAAAACCAGCTTCTCTTTTATACTTGAGTAGGTACTTGGATGCTTCTCTTTCCCATCTTCTTGATGTTCATTATCTGCTCTTCCGTGGGAGTAAATGCAGCTTCACTGTAGATTTGCGATGATATGGTGTTCTATGTGCGTCTTTACGTCATCTCAATTCGAAGGAAGAGGCCAATGTTGGTTGGTTATGCAATAAAAGTTGGTCAACCGGATGACGACGACCTCGAAGGGATATATTTGGAGGTGTGATAACAGTTACCAGGCTCTGTGCCACGGCCTGCAACCGTGGAGGTAAATGGAGTTGGTTGTTTCTATGTAGATCTCTTTACAGGGCAACCTACTCCTGTTGCAATATAGACTCAGCTGGTCTTGGTGCGATTAACGTTTTACCGGATGACAGGTTATGAGCCCGGGTGGCGCGTTTGGTAACCGCTACACTCTTCCAAACTGCTATAGAGCTTATAAGCCCAGCGGAAGCGCAAGAGGTAGTGTGTTCGATCCAATCCGCAACCGAAAGAAAAAGACCTCCAGAACCGGCCACTAAGACTACAAAGTTGTATTCATACACATAGAACCTATAGAGCTCCAAGACTATTGAGCCCGGGGGAGTGTTGCAATATAGACTCAGCTGGTCTTGGTGCGATTAACGTTTTACCGGATGACAACTCCTTCCTAAAGTAGAAGCTGATACGCGTAGAAAACCAACCCGAACCCCTTTCATGAGACTTGGTATGGCCGAGTACGCCGGGATTGGTTTTCGGACTAGTCTATAATACCCCTTCTGTGCGGGAGCACTGGGGCTTGTTCGGAAGTGTCAAATGTCTGATGAAAATAAGGTTGCACTAGAACCTCCAACTGCCTTCAGCACGCCGCTGTTGGTTCCAGGACCAGAATATTCAGACCCTCTGCCTTGCTTTCATGATGTCTTTCGATCCCGTGGTGTAGCCCAATGAATAAACGGTCCGATGTTTACACGTACAAGCCATTATCATCCTCCAACTTGTTCTGCCCCCCTGCTGGGAGGCATGTTGGCGGATAACTAGGCGCGCCTCTCCTTCGGTCTGCACCCAAGGATGGGAGCGCAAATTGAGGCTGGGTTGTAGAGAAGCAAAAGCCAAGAAGACAATGTAATGTCATGGGTCGCGGCCAAGTCACAATCCCATGCCAACAGACCATTTACCATCATGTTGGCCCTTTGCATGTAGATCATGCCTTTTTTTGATGTCGGTCGCCAAAGGACTCAGGGATTGACCAAACGATAGCATCCTGAACAAAACTCATAAA